AAGGCACTCTGTGGGTGAAGTATGAGCCAGATTGGGCCAAGGAGAGAGAAGATATGCTCTGGACAAGGATTTTTCATATAATTCAGCTATGATCTTGACCTTTGACATAAAAACCTTGTTCAAGGTCACTGCACACCGGTTACCCAAGGGCACTCTGTGGGTGAAGTATGAGCCAGATTGGGCCAAGAAGAGAGAGAAGATATGCTCCAGACAAGGATTTTTCATATAATTCAGCTATGACCTTGACCTTTGACCTAGAAACCTGGTTCAAGGTCACTGCACACCGGTTACTCAAAGGTACTCTGTGGATGAAGTATGAGCCACATTGGGCTAAGGAGAAAGAAGATATGCTCCGGACAAGGTTTATTCATATAATTCAGCTATGACCTTGACCTTTGACCTAGAAACCGGGTTCAAGGTCACTGCACACCGGTTACCCAAAGGCACTCTGTGGGTGAAGTATGAGCCAGATTGGGCCAAGGAGAGAGAAGATATGCTCCGGACAAGGATTTTTCATATAATTCAGCTATGACCTTGACCTTTGACCTAGAAACCTGGTTCAAGGTCACTGCACACCGGTTACCCAAGGGCACTCTGTTGGTGAAGTATGAGCCAGATTGGGCAAAGGAGAGAGAAGATATGCCCCGGACAAGAGATCTCGGACGGACGGACAGCCGGACGGACGGACAGACGGACGGACGGACGGACGGACAGACTGATCACTATAGGGCGCCCGCCAAGCGGGGCCCTAATAAAATCTTAAACTGCAACCTCAGTCATATATACATATATATATATATAAAATCTTATTCAACATAATTTACTTGTATATTATAATTCATTTTATCTTATCAACTTGCTAACAAGTATGGAAACATTTGTTTTAGTGACTTTTCTCTATTTTCTGCTTGTATTTATCTATTTAATGTCTTTTCTTTTTTTTTGTCTTGAAATTTGAAAATGAAAATTTATGATACTTCAACATGATGACCAGAAAAATTCAACATTTCTTTCAGTTTTACTCTCAATACTTTTGAAAGAAGAAAATCGTGTGTTCCGAGTAACTGCAGAAATGTCACGTCAACTCAGATAATGATGTTTATGTATTTTAATGACCATGTAAGAAAACATGATAAAAATAAAATCATACATACTTTTTAGGTTGAAATCCTTGTGCTGCGATGACGCATGAGTGCAGACAATCCACTTTCTTTTATAATTAAAATGATAAGATTAACTTATGTTTCATAACTCATAATACATCATACATACATGTACAATGTGTAAGTGCACTGCTTAGTGAGCTCATTACACATTTAAGCAGAAGCATTAGAAATGGTCATGATGATTCTACATTCATTTATTATTAATTACACAGAAATGAAAAAAAAACTATTTTCTGACCTTATTAGGAAAATGATAAGAGTAAAAACCTGATTTAGGCATAATATATATGATTGTTTTAGTCTTAGAGCTCATTGATAGCTGATGGAATTTATATGACTGAGTATCTGTAAATAACCCCCCCCCCCCCCGCGCTTCTGTCAACTTTGACTACTTCTTTTTCCGCACCCGATTTTTGTTTATACTAAATATAATAAAATGTTTCAGGGTTCTCCATCATTTGAGATTTTACTGTTTTGCAGAGTTTACGCAAAGCACCAATATTTTGCGGTATTTTCGCGAACAAATTCGTGACTGAACCAAAATTCATTATAATTACAAAAGATTATAAGCACACACTTTTTTAAATATCGCCAATTCTTTACACAAATGGCATGGTCGTAGGTACTGATAAAAGGGAAAAAAAGTTCGGAAAGCAGAGGAAATTCTGACTGATATTCGAACTACTTAACATTTTTGTGAAAGTAGATTTGCCGCGTTTATTTATCAGGTTTCTTGATCGAGTTACAGCATTACAAAAAAGGAACATCAGAACAGTAAACATGCTGAATTTCAAAATTTTCGACAATTTATTTACATCAATAAAATGACTTCGGAACGATGTCATGTTTGACTTACAGTGCTTACATAATTCTATGGCCGTAGCTCTACAGGAAAGACATATTTAAATATTTTTTATAAGTAAAACAATGTATTTTATTGCAGCTACCAATTAACCGGTACATTGAGTTGTGAAAACAATTTATTTGTCTTTGTTCCGTCATGCGTTAAGTCTGGCGAGGGTCTACAAGATAATTAATTGACTACTCAAGGTGAAGCCCTAGTAATTAAGTGTTATAACTTTTTGAATTGAAAAAGATTTTCTAATTATCACAACTCTAACTGTGTCGGCAGAATTTTTACTGTGTCGCATGCATGAAATTTGAATCGTGACTGTGTCGGAGAAAATTTTACTGTGTCGGGAGCAACACAGTAAAACAGCTCATGGAGAACCCTGTTGTTTATAGTTTAAGACATGAGAACATTGTTTAAAGAGACAAATATGTGTAAAAATGCACACATATACAGTGTACAGTGTGAAGTATACTTACATGATATCGCACATCATCTATTTAAGTCCGGTACTGACGGTTACTGTGGAATTATCCAAACAAACAGAGCATTTTTAACAGAAAAACATGTTATTACACTTTTACACAAGTAAGAATCGGTTAAATCATCCAAACAAGCTGAAGAAATACGGTCTTTCGATGCCTGGACTCTTCGTTGTTTACATTCCCAATTCTTCCGGTGATCGTTCACGGTTCGATCGTACGCCGTGTTACATGTCATTAAACGCCGAGTCGGCAATATTTCAGCCATATTTGAAAATAGACTGGGGACCAGGTTCCATCACTTGCCACAGGTTACATCCATTATAAGTAAAAAAAAAAAACACCGTTGACAATAATGGTCATATTATTCTTCAATTAACCTAGCTCGATATTACAGATTTTTTTTTCCTGGTTGAATTCGTCCTTCGAGAGGTACTTATAATGTATTTGCTCAAAATTACCTCACGACAGTTTATGATAGATGAAATACAAGAACTTCCGAATATCGTGTATGGCCTTCTTTGACTTTTCGAGAACATGGAGAAACATAATTAACGACAAAAGGCAATTTTCTACAGATTTTTAGGTCACCTCAGTAAACTCAGGTGACCTATTGCTATCCGTTTTTGTCCGTCGTGTGTTAACATTTGAACATTTTCAGCTTCTTCTCTGCAACCACTGAACCAATTTCAAACAAATTTGGCACAAAGCATCTATGGGTTGAAGGGAACAAAAATTGTGAATTTCATGATCCCTGTCCCCCTGGGGCCCTAGGGGTGGTGCCAAAACCACTAAAATTAATGCATTCTTTAAAAATCTTCTTTACTCCCGAACATCAAGCAGTCTAACCAAAATTGTGAAATTCATGGCCCTGGGTTCAGGGGTTCTAGTGCTAGGGTGGGGCTAAATAAGTTTATAGTGAAAATGCATTATTTCTTTGTAAATCTTCTTCTCTTCTCCTGGGTATTAAATAAACCAACTAAGTACATAGTTATGATGAGCATGAGTGCCTCTACCAAAATTGTGAATTTTATGGCCCCAGGGTCAGGGTTTCTGGTGTTAAGGCGGGGCTCTATTGATTATATATAGTAAAAATACATGCTTTCTTTGAAAATCTTCTTCTCTGCCCCTGGGTATTAAATATACAAACTAAGTGCATAGTTATGATGAGCATGAGTGCCTCTACCAAAATTGTGAATTTTGTGGCCCCAGGGTCAGGGTTTCTGGTGTTAGGGCGGGACTCTATTGATTTTATATAGTGAAAATACATGAATTCTTTGAAAATCTTCTACTCTACTCTTAGGTATTAAATAAACCAACTAAGTGAATAGTTATGATGAGCAAGAGTGCTTCAACCAAAATTGTGAATTTTATGGCACAAGGGCAGGGTTTCTGGTGTTAGGGCGGGGCTCTATTGATTTTATATGGTGAAAATACATAAATTCTTTGAAAATCTTCTACTCTGCTCTTAGGTATTAAATAAACCAACTTAGTAAATAGTTATGATGAGCAAGAGTGCCTCAACCAAAATTGTGAATTTTATGGCCCCAGGGTCAAGGGTTCTGGTGTTGGGGGGGGGGGGGGTGCTCTATTGATTATATAGTGAAAATACATGAATTCTTTGAAAATCTTCTTCTCTGCTCTTAGGTATTAAATAAACCAACTAAGTGAATAGTTATGATGAGCAAGAGTGTTTTTACCAAAGTTGTGAATTATGGTCCCAGGGTCAGGGTTTCTGGTCTTAGGGCAGGGCTCTATTGCTTGTACATTAAAAATACATGAATTCTCTGAAAATCTTCTTCTCTTCTCCTAGGAATTAAATAAACTAAGTACATAGTAATGATGAACCAGAATGCCTCTTTTAAAATTATGAAGTTTATGGCCCCAGGGTCAGGGGTTCTGGTGTTAGGGGGGCGGGGCTCAATTGATAATATAATGAAAATACATTAAATCTTTGAAAAAATTTTTCTTCGTCTCTGGGTGTAAAGCAGATGAACTACCTTTATAGTTATGATGAGAAAGGGCCCTAATCTTGCAGAAATGCGAATTTCAAAGCCCCAGGGTCAGGGGCTCTACTTATATACTGAAAATGAATTTATTGTTTGAAATGTGCTCTTTTGTATTGATAAAACATTAATTTTTTTTATATTAAGGGTGCTTTTTTGAAATTTGTGCAATGTGTGGACCTAGGGTCAAGGATTTATGTCACAGTGTTAGGGGCTCTACTGGTTAGTTGGAATGCATTTTTGTTCCCCCTACCCTGCATATGGGTATTCAGTAACCAAGCTAAGCAACTGCTAAGTGTATTGTTATGATGATCAATGGTGTCTCTTTCAAAATTGTGAATGTCATATAGCATCTGGTTTAAAACATGAATCAAATTCAATAACTGGAAAATTGTTGCATAAGGCTCAGGTGACCTATAAAGCTCGTGGGCCTCTTGTTTTTTGTGTTTTTGCTCACATCGAGATATTTATAAATGTAATTATTTATTTGACGCAGGTTTGAAAGTAAATGTTGACCGCAAGGACCTCTTTTTAAATGGATATACACTTTCCGGAGTTTATGGAATAAACCCATTCCGTAACGAGACTCAGATCCAAGTATTCTGTGACATGGACATCGTAGGAGGGGGATGGACAGTAAGTCCTCGTCTTTTTCTCTCACTTCTCGCTTCACTTATTAACACTTAACTTCCCTTATCTTCTTCCTATATGAATAATACTCCAAAAATAATTTGCGCTTATGTACATTGTCAACTGCGATTAGTGATGTGTATATAAATGCTTTATTTCGAAATTATGGTTTCAAGATTGTACTATTAAATACAAATGTTAATTCTAACATGAAATATTAAACATAAATACTCGTATTACTTGCTTCGAGGGCAGCATACCATAATATTTCCATCAAGGTGACAGGAAAGTTCCAAAGTGTTAAGTCACCAAATGCTGCAGGCCTTTCCTGTCACAAAGGGGCAAATATTCTGGCTGCCAGACAATTCAGCCATGTAATATATTACAAAACATTTTTGTTCATTGAACTCAAATCGACCGATCATCGAACAAATTTATTTAAAACTTTTCAGTATGCTGACACTTGTGTTGATAACTTTTGTTATATTAAGGAATTTTTCTCCTAACCTAAATTATCTAATTCCTCTGAATTCCAGTGAACAAATTGCCCGTACATTATATAATTTTCGCAGAACGTTTGCTTAGCAACTGCCTTTGTGAATTCCGAACCCGACGTAATTAATATGCAGGATAATTACACGCGAGGGAATAAAAGCGTATTCAGGAGGGCGATATTTCTGGTGAAATATAATTATATCCGGAGCGATTCAGCAGTTGTTCAGGGCATATGGATTTAAAAACATTATATTTGTGATATAATATGAAAACTTATTTCAAAATGTTATATAATGATCCATTCATTGTATATGGTTTATCGTCCCTCTCGAGATATTTTCACTAATTATGAGATGTCTGTTTTATTGAAATAACTAACAATGTTCTTACTCAAGAGTCCATTGAAAAATACAAAATCAGACATTCACAAAATAAGAGGAAGGATCAGGTGCCATAAATGACCGTCACATATTAAATGATTGTTCTTTATAGGCAATTCAAAAACGCAGGAGTGGATCAGTGAGTTTCTACAAAACTTGGGCGGAGTATAAAACAGGCTTCGGGAACCCGGAGGACACGTACTGGATTGGTAAACACATATTATTAGTTCGTTATAGTTATATAAAATGTTGATTTGTTTAGTTATATTAACTTAATTTTTGATAAGTAAAAGTTAGAATTGAAAGTTCTCCATATATTTTCTTGTAATTTGTATGATAATTATATACCTGTGTTTATGGAAACTGTTTTTGTATAACACTGCAACAATTTTATATCATGCTTTGGCTTTGTTATATAAACATGATGTATTTTAAAGGAAATGACGTCATTCACCAACTTACTAAAGAAAGAAACTCATCCCTCTACGTTTCTATAACATTACAAAATGACACAAGATTGTACGAGCTTTATCATCAGTTCTCTGTTTCTGATGAAGCCGATAACTACAGACTTTTTCTTGGAGGGCCAGTTAACGGGACATTGGGTAAGATTTAATTAAAACAAACGTTAATAATAAAAGCGAAAGATGCACTGAAAGGTTAAAAAGGAATGAAGGCAAATAAAGTTAATCCTACAAAAACAAATTTACCCTTTTCTAATCAGATCTCACCTTCCTTGTTTTTATGCAGCAGTAAATCGTAAAAACCTTTATTTGTGGTTTTGTTGATTTAATCTCAAGACCACCCTCCTAGTGTTAATTCAATACAAGTCCAGCTGTTGACAAATAAGTAGGTGGTACAAAATTTTTATGAGTCCTATTAAGAGTCAATGCATTGCAAAGACTATAATTGGTACACAATCGATGTCGATATCAAATTCAATTCGTCATTCATACATATGTTGGAAGATATTTTTCATATAATTGTTAGCCATTCTATTTCACTATAAATTCACTAAGGTCGTTTTTTTTTCATTTCCACAATCATGACAAGCGTCATAATGTAATTTTTACTCTTGACCCAATCACCAATGTTTTCAAAGATCCGGATATGCTCTGATACATTACCAAATGCGTATCATAAAGTGAGACGTTTTTAGGCGTGATAACCGATCTTTGCTTTCAAATGTTTACCAACGCAACGTTTGATGCAATTCTACTTTTTTAACATCACTTTTATCCTAATTATATAGAATTGCCATTTTCTTATTTTTTTTTTAGGTGACAACATGCTTAACACTCGACGACCCGATAGCACATTAAATGGGATGTCCTTTAGTACGCCTGACCGAGACAATGACCTGGGCGCGGATCGTAGCTGTGCTGCGGTTTTTAAGGGCGCATGGTGGTTCCGGAACTGTTACTCGGCCTTTCTGAATGGCCCCTGGTCCAGGGAATGGTTATCTCCCTGGAATCCGCCGGTAGTTAACGGAGAGGAGATAAAGGAAACGGTCATGTTGGTCAGAGCAAACTGACTGTGACAGGACACTCTTATATTGATATGGTCAAAATGATTATTGAATAAAATTTAAAAGTTTACATGGAGCAGGTGTATTACTTAAAGCCGCTTAACCCGAAACAGGCGCATATTATCTTACACAATAAATGTACCTCATTACATAGAAAATATATAAAAACAAATTATAGGATTGATTCAATAGTTTATAACAACAATCCTTACATGGAAAATGCAGATCATAAACCTTATTGACAAACAGTAGTTCCTGACGGAAGTTAAGGTCTGTTGTGAAGTCAATTTTGAAAATAATAAGTTTATCGGATATATTCAATAAAGAAGATAATTCAAACCCGAGTATTTTTTTTCTCTATTTAGTAGAAGCCTTAGCCATAATACATCTTTTCAAGAAATTTATTGAATATGATTCATACATGTAGAAACTTTTATATTAAATATGCATATTTTAAGAAAAAAAGGAAAAATCAGATATCTAATATGATTTTTATAAAGGAGCTAAACTATTGTCCGTTACAGGCAATACATGTACTTTGTTGTATAAAAAATGCTCGGGTTTGTTCTTCATGATATAAACATGCAAGCGATAAACTTATTTTTTCGAAGGTGATTTCACGCGATATCAACAATGATCAACATAGGATTATTTTTTGTGTGACCTAACAAAAATTATTTTTTTAACTTTTGAATTTTGATATCTTTTAAAAGAAAAAGACTTTGGGGATATAATTTGACAAAAGTTCAAACTATTTATGGACAATTATTTTTCAAGAAGAAAAACGAATATATATTTTTAGCGATTAGAATCGGACCAAGCGGCTTTAATGTATTTATAAATTTTTTATTATTTCAATCCCTTAAAAGGGGGATGGGGGTCTAACTCCGTTTATATCAGTGAATATATAATTTTTTTTTGTTACAAAGAAAACATGCCCCTATGTAGCTGCTAGGAACATGTCAATTTTGAAAAGAAACAACTTACCGAATTTCAAGTAATAAAATTCGTGCACATATTATGAATAATTGAAAATTGGAACCTGACTAGAAGTTGCTTGTACATCTGTACATCTTATGCATAAACAAAATTACTAACAAGTGATGAAAACGTAGATTAATTATTATTGTTTTACGCCGAGTCGGCAGAACTTGTATATAAGTTTAAAAATGTCATTATTCGTATGAATAGCACATCGGTAAAACGTTAAAAAAAATAAAAAGAATTGCGAAGGCCATAGGTCATAGGGAGAGCAATTTAGTGAGAATTGATGCGTATGAGTGGCCAGTACACAATTATTGCCCTTATGGAAACGTGTGACATTAACAAATGAGTGATGGAAAGAAGCCGTGTTCATAAACATAAATTCGTAACAAAAACCAAGGGTCGTGTTAGCCATCGAGTATTTATATTCACTTGTTGCAAACAACACAAATTTGCAATTTCATATACACCGTACTTGAATCTATTAAATTACGTCTGTAGCAGCAAGATAGTCTGTCTGAAACTTATATTGTAGTACCCACTAAGCGGAGAGTTATACTTCAATGCTGAACTGGATTGATCAGCATACTCAGAATCTAGAAAAAGTTCCATAAGTGTCTCATGTCATAACATTCTTTGACAACAACCAAGTCCTTGTAAGGAACCGGAGAGTTCTCTTTGACGCTAAGGCTTTACTTAGCACAGTTACAACTGTTGTTCATTTCTTTTTAAAACCACCTTTTGATTCACAGACAATCCATACCCTTTCTCCATGCAAGATACAGACTGTACAATTCTTAAATTTTCAGATGGTTTCGATGAAGTTTTAAATATAAAAGATTACAGACATTTTTTAAGATTATAGAGAAAACCATTTCAGCGCTAATAAAGAACAAGAAAAAAACCAAACTGTGATAAAAATAGAATGTGAATTTGATTCCTTTTCTTTTGTAGACCATATCCACAAAGATTCTCCGTCAATTCTCATGGGTAATCCAATTTCTGTCATCCCATGTTATTTTGAGTCCGTGAAAACTTTCACAAAATCTTTAAAAAAAAATTATTCAAGACCTCAAGGACATCCTTGTGGAAAAATATGGCAAAAAGGTTTATGCCCACTTTATTTAAAAATCAAATGTGCATAAATATTTAGAAAGTTTGTATGGTTTCAATTACCAATCATAATTTCGTACATTATTTCATCTCTAGTAGAAATGACCTGTCAATTGATTACACACATATCAATCACTTGGCAATATTCTTATCAATATTTTAATGTAACAGCTGATATCAAACTTTTGTGGTAAGTTGTAGGCTTGGAGTTGGCAAAACTTTTGGGGTACTGGGTATCGTTTCACAAAAACATCGTAAATTACGTACTACTTAGCAAGTTACGACGAATTTAGGTAGTACCTACGTACTACGTTACGACTGTTTCACTAAAGGTACTTAGAACTGTCGTAAATGATCGCACCTTACGTACTACTTAATTTTACCGGAAGTAAAAAAATAATGGCAGACGAAACACTTTCTAAAATTAAGAAAGAGAGGAAGAAGAATTTTACGGCAAGGGAAGTAGAGGCCCTGGTGGAGGAGGTGGAGAAGCAGAAGGATATACTGTTTGCTCCACATAAGGACGTAAACACTAATCAAAAGAAGAACGAGTGCTGGAAGAACATTTGTTCCCTGTGTGTATACAGCATTGTATTTATAAACATTTTATGCTTTGTTTACTATTTCAGTATATTAATATAAAATGTATGCATACGTTTTTAATATTTTTTTAAGTAGGTCAATATGTACACGATATCGCTATACATTATCCATGATGCGCCCCCTCAAATTGAAGTTTTCTCTTCAAGTCACATAACACATCTCGGACATTAACATTGATGAAACATCATAATGAAGAGCTTACAGTGAAGTAGCCTAGTTGAATATCACATGCTAGTAATTAATTTTGCAATCATGGAAAGGGACTCACGAAAAAGGAGAAAACGAATACTTACCGAAACCAATGCAATGATGAACGAAATCGTCTGCATGTTTACCTTTTAAGCTTGACACTGAGAATATCCTTTATGAATATAAAAATATAATAGCTATTCGGGCTTTTAGTTCTATTTAATTTTACCTTTTCGGTACAGCACTCATTGCGATTGCATGGAAACCAAACTTCGTCCTTGTTGTCTCGGCATCACCAGTCGGAAACTTGATGTTGGTCATTGTCCGACACAAGATATTGATAACATCGTCTATAGACCTAATCAAAATTTTATATTGTATAAATTTATCATAAGGGCATTTTTAAAGCTTACCTTCTCTTTATCGATGGACCAAAAAATGGACCAAATTAATCTCTTTTTTTTTAAATCTTCAAGCCTTTTCAGGAAATGCTCTTTTATTTCATAACAATTTTCTTCTCATCCCTTCAACGGCTGTATTTCAATTTTCGTTTCTTTTCTGCCTTTACAGGTCTTTCTCTTCCATTTTTTCATGAGTTGGGAGAGGACAATTTAAGATTTTTTGAAAAGGGCCCATTAGAAATTCGATTAAACTATCATAAAAAACATAATTTTATAATCCTTGTATTTAAATACCTGCAAACAGATGCCTTCGATATTCCCAGAGTGTCTCCAATCACTCTCTGCTGGGAGCCAGAAGCAAGGAATCTTAAAGCAGCAAACACTTGCAAAGAGGCTGGAAGACTCCCAGATCTTTTTGTTGGTCTCTCTAGACGATCTTCAACCATGTCAATAATACTGATGATGGTCATTCTGTCTAATCGGTAACGATGGATAATATTGATGTCGTCATAAGCATCATGTAATATTATTGACAATAATATGTTTTATGCATACATATGTAATTTACCATTTCTGTGGTTAGAATGTAGTGATTGTAGTATATTTCATGTATATATCAGGTTTCAGAGATAGGATGTTATGTAATGCATAGTCTCAGGTTTACGGGCTTTGCGCCGATTAGTCGTGAGCTAACGTCGGATATATCACGTGATTATTATTGCTGGTTTATGCTGCAAGTGTTTGTACACACCAATTTTTGTAGAAAAACATAACGATTTCGGATTATTCATCTTGATCAATGCTAAATAATCAGTGGATTAGCAGTACATACGACTTTATGCACAGTATGTAAGTGATGATATTTCGGATTCGCTTTGTGACTGTTTTTCGACTCCATCGGAGCCTGGGTACATGCGGGGTGTTTCAAAATGGCGGACAAGTCGAGGACTGTGCTAATCGGCCATTCGTACATTATAAGGATGGACAAGTATATGAAAGACAAGATGTGAAAAAAAAATCTTTGTTTTGACCTAAATTATAAATAGATTCTCACTGTTGATCCGTGGCCAAGGTGGGTTAAACGTTAAGGGTTTGGCGACATCGTGAACACTATGTACTTTCTCCACAGCCCCTGACATTAGCCTTTTTCAAATTTGAGGTAACGAACTTTCCTTCGACCCCCACAAAGATTGTAAGGTATATTTCTTTTACGAACTTCCTGATTCATGGTACGAGTGTGAAACATGTAATTTTATGCAACTTCTCCGACGGGACCCTCACAACTTACCACCGGGATGCAACAATGTTGTTATTGAGATTAATCAGCTTAGAAACTCTGTGTCTGAATCCTTACCATACACTGTGTGTGTCATTTTAGAAACACTGGGGTTTTGGGACTAACCTACAGTACCTGAGGGAGTTCACCTACGTACAAAACCATGCATGCAGTACCCATCCAGTACCTTTGGTCAATGGTCAATCAAAGATGCGGTGGTCAACACTTGCAGGAGGCTAAGGCCAGTATAAATTAATTTGAAGTTTGATATAATGATATACATGATATATGAGCATAAATCATGGAAATGAATAGATGCATATGTATAGGACAAGAGTCAAATATCTAGTAAGATATTTAGAAAGATGTCCATTCTAAACATTCAAGTATTATTATATCTTTCTTTAAGATATGTATAACTTCATGAAAACCTGCAGAACATAATGTCAAAATTTTCCATGCTAATGTTTCAAAAGTTATTGTTTGCAGGGTAAATTACAGTATACATATGTCAAAATTTTCCATGTTAATTGCTGTATTTAAGTTATTGGTTCGCAATGTGAACTGGCAGTATACATGACGTCAAAGTTTTCCATGTTGCTGCATCAAAGTTATTGGTTTGCAATGTGAACTAGCAGTAAACATGATGTCAAAGTTTTTCATGTTACTGTTTCAAAGTTATTGGTTTGCAATGTGAACTAGCAGTATACATGATGTCAAAGTTTTTCATGTTGCTGTTTCAAAGTTATTGGTTCGCAATGTGAACTAGCAGCATACATGACCTCAAAGTTTTCCATGTTGCTGTATCAAAGTTTTTAGTTCGCTATATGAACAAGCAGTATACATGATGTCAAAGTTTTCCATGTTACTGTCTCAAAGTTATTGGTTTGCAATGTGAACTAGCAGTATACATGATGTCAAAGTTTTTCATGTTGCTGTTTCAAAGTTATTGGTTCGCTATGTAAACTAGCAGCATACATGATGTCAAAGTTTTTCATGTTGCTGTATCAAAGTTTTGAGTTCGCTATGTGAACTGGCAGTATACATGATGTCAAAGTTTTTCATGTTACTGTCTCAAAGTTATTGGTTCGTAATGTGAACTAGCAGTATACATGATGTCAAAGTTTTTCATGTTGCTTATTCAAAGTTGGTTCTCAGTGAGTACTGGGTAAGTCATGTGGCTGTCTCAAGGTATAACTAAACTATTCAATACAAGATCAAAAGCCAGGCATGTTTTTTTTTTCTTTTATAAAGACTTGATTTATCAGTAAAATATAACAGTTATGAAGCCACTGTTGTTGAAATCTTCATCATTTTATTATCAAAGTATGCAATTATGAAAGGTCATTACCTAAAATGTTGGTGATACCTTTCATCATAACAGCAGAAAATACATGAAGTAGTTCGCTTAAAATATATAGTCATAAATTATATTCTAGATAGAATTCTTTCAGCTTCAATCCTGCCCAAGAGACGCCCAGCCACAGACGAAACCTGGAGAAGAGGAAAGAGTAAAAACTCAGAGTGAAGTGTCAAAACTGGTGGCGTATCCATCCGTGCAGATTGATAATGAAAACAAGCAGACAAAATTCTAAAGTAACAAGGTAGTCGCGGAACCCTCTTAAGATGCTACAAGCAACATATCAGAAATACTCAATCAGTTATTAAGTTCAGGCGAGCCAGCGACCCCCAAAATAACATATTGACATTGTTGGGATTCTGCTCGGTGCAACAGTAGCACAACGCATTAAACAAAAAATCTGGGAAAATCAGTATTTAGATTTGCGTGTGCTGCTGCAGCAGCGAGAGGATCCAGTATTTTGGGGGGTCTTCGACTTCCAACACCAATCAATCCAAATAAATTAAGTGAATTTCTAGTTCATTATGATAGATCTCTTTAAACTTAATTAGTGCAGAGTTTTAAATAGGATTTTCGCCTGGGTTGTGTTTGCAGACCCCATCATATCCAATATGTTGAGTAATCATAAATCAGCAAGGGAGCACCAAAATATTATCAATGATCACAGAAACAGGTCTGCAAAAGGGAATTGATGGACCAGTACCTGCACCCCAATTAAATCAATTTGTTGTATCACCCCTACTGCGGCCCTAAACTTAGTGTCAAAAGGTAATTCAAATAATTTCGGAACAATTCATGACTTCTTTTTTCCAAAAGACCTGTCTGTGAATGCCAACATCCAAAAGAGCTCTCTTCTGTACACTGTTATTGGATTGTTAATGTTAGAAGTTTGGTTAAAAAATTTGGTCAATATATTTTAAGAGCAAAGTCTGACATCAAAGAGGCCTATAGAATAGTTCCAGTTCACCCTCTAGATCACCATCTATTAGGTTTTCATTGGGAAAATTCATTTTTAATATTATGATATATGGTAACCAATGTGAGCAAGTAGCAGTTGTCAAATTTTGAAACATTAAGTTATGCACTACAGTGGACAATGGAAATATTTTTAAAGCAGCAGGGGTCTCTCATATCGTCGACGATTTTTTTGTGGGCCCACCAAATTCATCAAAGTGTAGGTATGTTCTAGCCAGTATTTTATTCTCATGTAGGCAATTTGGGGCTCCTTTTAAGATGCAATAAACACAGACACCTACACCTAAAATAATTATCTATTGGACAGAAGTAGATACTGGGATAATGGAATAGACATCCATAAAAAAAAATATATATATAAAACTGCAAAAAAGGTCTCATTGAAAGAATTACAGTCAGCACATAAGTCTTCTTTACTTCGCATGTGGGGTAGCTAGTAGTACCTGGTAGAGCCTTTTTAAGCCGTTTAATCAATCTCACTTGTTGTTTTGATGATTTTAAATGATATGCTAAGATAGAGGGGAAGCGAGAGCTGACTTAGCTACCTGGTCGTATTTCCTGGTCATATACCATAAATCATTTTCATGGAAAATCTGTCTTCCTGAATAAAGAATTGATGTCCTCAGAATATCTAAATTTGCAAATTGATGCCGCAGGGTCACACAGTTTTGCTGTAGTTTTGGGTTCAAAATGGTTTGCAGATAGATGGCCTGATGCCCTTATATAATGTCAAATATGCATCAAAGAACTTTTTCCAATTGCTATTACATTTAGAATTATGTGGGCACAAGCTTCAAAAAGACTTTTCTTTTTTGACAATAAGGCAGTAGTAGAAGGCATAAATAAACAGTCATCTGGTGAACATAACCTCATGAAATTATTTTGTCGGCTTGTACTAGTGGCAATACAGTGCAAAATTCACTTTAGAGCTAACCATGCTTCAATAAAATCTAATGTATGTGCTGACAGACTCGAGTATTATTCACCAAGCACATTGGCATCACATGTTTCGGCCATTTAATTTTTCAAAAAATTCTGAATTTGCCAGACCCATCTAAGAATTTTGTTTTTGGTTCAGAAATTGTTAAAAAGGGTGTCAAAAATCATGCCAAAGAACAGCCTCAAAACTCCAAACAACAAGGGAAATTCGGAGGGATATCCTACAAAAGTTTAAAAGCTATACGTCTTACAAGGCCTACTTGTAATAACCGAATTCTTTTAAGAGCATTAGATTGGGAGAATTATTTGTCAGGACACTGCAATCTATGAATCAAGTGTTTTTAAGGTCAAACATACATTTTAAAACTGGGCAAGGATATTGAAAATTGTTTAATTTTAGTTTAATTTTATGTCACACACAAAAACTAGCAATCTGGTCAGTCAGTTACCATCTACCTAGAGGCCCAGTCTGAAAAAGATCTCTGTCCTGTGTTTCCTCTTTTTGAGTATATGTGCCAATTTAAACATTCAAAGGGGACCCCTTTTTCAATTAATTGATGGAACTCCAGTTTCACAGTCATTGGTTTCAAAACATTTAGGTGCAAGTTTTACATTCATGGGTTTGAATAAAAAATTTACAAGGTTATGCTTTTTGTATTGGGGCAGCTACTCATGCAGCTAGGTTGGGTTCTTCGAAAAATGCAATTCAACGTATGGGTAGATGGAAATTTGATGCAGTCAAGAGATATATAAGTACAGGATCCTTTACTCTTTCTCTCCAGTAGTTTGGTTTTTATTTTTGTGTGTTTTTTCTCCTCAATTCATTAAATTGATAAGGTATAGTCTACTACCCTCTCCTAATGATAACAGTACAGCACAAAACATCTGCTTATAAAGGTCGTCCTGCAATCAATTTTGTATTGGTCAAATTAATCTTGTCATTTTCATGTAGCCTGTCCCTTAATTAATTATAAATGGGTCAGATTATGCCTGTCAGGTTCATGTAGGTATACCCGTTGTCCTAAGAATGTGATGATGCTATTAAAGCTCGTAAAAAAGCTGAAAAACTATTCAATAGATTACCAACATCAACAAATTTAAGCAATTTCCGCATATTTAGAGCAAAAGCTCGTAGAACCATTAATTTTAGCAAACGAAAATCTTGGAAAAAATTTGTTTCTAGTCTAAATTCGCATACTCCAATAAATAAGGTTTGGAACGCAATAAGAAAAATTAAGGGAAAGGGTCCTGAAAAATATCAGCATCTTAATATTGGAAATAAAATAATTACGAATAAAAAAGAAATAACAAATGAAATAGCTAAAACAATTTCTACAAATTCTTCCACAAACAATATGAGCCCTATATTTATTCCATATAAAAACTCACAAGAAGAGAAAACCTTAAATTTTACATCTGAAAACCGGGAATGTTATAATCAACCATTCACATTAGATGAACTGCAAAAGTCTTTAGATAAATCTCATGATACTGCGGTAGGACCGGATCAAATTCACTATCAAATAATTAAACATCTCCCCCAAAGTAGTAAAGAATGTCTTTTGCAAATTTTCAATTCTATCTGGACACGAGGTCTTTTTCCACACTCCTGGACCCAAGCTACCATTATCCCTATTCCAAAGCCTGGAAAGAACCATACAGATCCTAATAACTACCGACCAATTGCTTTAACAAGCTGCTTATGTAAAACCATGGAACGGATGATCAATGAACGCCTAATATGGTTTCTTGAAACCAATAACATTTTAACCAATATACAATGTGGTTTTAGGAAAAACCGAAGTACCATTGACCAGTTAGTACGACTGGAAACCTATATTCGAAATGCTTTTATACATAAAGAGCATGTTGTATCTGTATTTTTCGATTTAGAAAAGGCCTATGATACCACATGGAGATATGGCATCTTGAAAGATCTTTACAGTATGGGCCTTAAAGGACACTTGCCCAATTTTATAAAGAATTTTTTGAATGATAGACATTTTCAAGTACGTTTTGGTTCTACTTACTCTGACAATTTTGAACAAGAAATGGGCGTACCAAAGGTAGTATTTTATCGGTCACATTATTCAGTATAAAAATGAACAGTATAGCTGAAGTGCTTCAAAATGATATGCATGGAAGTCTTTATGTTGATGATTTTGTTCTCTGTTTCAAATCTAAAAGTATGAATTATATTGAGCAAAAATTACAGGTCTGTCTTAACAAAATACAAAATTGGGCTGATATGAATGGATTTAAGTTCTCAAAAAGTAAAACCTCCTGTATACACTTCTGCTCCAAACGGAAAGCTCATGATGAACCACGTTTGTTACTAGATGGAATCCCTATAAAAGTAGTAAAAGAGATTAAATTTTTAGGCATAATCTTTGACAGCAAACTTTCTTTTATATCACATATTAAAATGCTGAAAGAAAAATGTACAAAGGCATTAGATGTAATAAAAGTAATTGCGAATACAAAATGGGGGGCAGATAAAAATACTCTATTGAAACTCTATCGCTCTTTAGTTAGATCTAAATTAGATTATGGTTGCATTATATATGGCTCGGCAAGAGCTTCATACATGAAAGCTCTCGACGCAGTCCATCATCAAGGCCTTCGACTTTGCTTGGGAGCTTTTCGAACTTCTCCTGTTAATAGTTTATATGTCGAAGCAAATGAGCCACCGCTGGACTTGAGAAGAATCAAACTCACCTTACAGTATATTCTCAAATTAAAAGCAAACATTAATAATCCTGCTTATGATTGTGTTTTTAATCCGCAATATGAACATATGTATGATAAATGTAAAACTTGTATAAAGCCTATTGGTCTAAGATCTAGAAAACATATCAGAGATGCCGAAATACCTTTGGATATCATAAAAACTACAACTTTATCTGAAATACCACCATGGAAATTAATTAAACCAAATGTAGATACATCTTTAACTGAGTCTAAGAAATCAGAAACCAATTCTCTTGTTTTTAAACAGAAATTATCCGAAATAAAACAATCAAAAAATTCTTCAGTCGAAATTTATACAGATGGTTCTAAAGACAACAATAAAGTAGCTGCGGCTGCAGTGTTTAAAAACAATGTTTTCTCTTTGCGACTTCCAAATGAAGCAACAATATTTACAGCAGAAGCAAAAGCCATACAGCTTGCATTTGAATATATAAAATCCTCTAATGAAAACGATTTTACAATATTTTCGGACTCGCTTTCTTGCTTACAATCTATACAAAATATGAATATCGATCAACCATACATTCTAGATATACTGATTCAGTACTTTCATTTTACACAACAAGGTAAAGTAGTTGATTTTTGTTGGATTCCAAGTCATATTGGCATTATTGGAAACACTAAGGCTGATAGCGCTGCAAAAATGGCCCTTCAATATGACATAACCTATTTTAAAATTCCTTATACTGATCTGAAATATAAAGTGAAACTCTATGTAAATTCTATTTGGCAAGTTTATTGGGAGTTTTGTGATACAACTAAACTCTATGCCATAGAGAACAAAGTAAACAACAAAACATCTAACTTTGGCCTTAAACGTCAGGATGAAGTGATTATTTCAAGACTACGTATAGGTCATTCAAAATTAACTCATGCATACTTATTTAAAAGAGAATTACAGCCAGAATGTATATCATGTGACTGTCCACTTACTATAAATCATATTCTTTTAGAATGTACTGATTTTTCGCCTATTCGAGGTAGACTTTTCAATAATGTACAAACGATGCGTGAACTGTTTACAAAAGTTAATGTTAATACAATTTTAGATTATTTACATGAAACTGATTTTTACAGTAAAATTTAATGGTACACAGTGCAATATATTTGGTTGATTAAAAAATGTTTTATTTTTAACTGTTTAAATATTTTTAATTTTTAAGTCCGTCGGATGGGACGTTAAACGGTGCCCCGTGTCAAGGATAACAACCCCCTTGGCACGCAAAAGATCGTTTCTCAGGTTTTCGGAAAAGAGTAGGCTCACTGGGGGCCGCCAGAGAAACCAAAAAACTCTCAAAACTGATCATTAAACGTATTTTCCTGCCGAAATATGGCTGAAATATTGCCGACTCGGCGTTAAACACCAATCAATCAATCAATCCTAAGATAATCTGTAAATGGGTCAGATTATGTTGGTTGGTTAATGTAGGTTGTCCCTAGTTAAGCTTTCAATGGGTCAGATTATGTTGGTTGTGTTCATTTAGGTTGTCCCCAGTTAAGCTTTCAATGGGTCAGATTATGTTGGTTGTGGTCTTGTAGGTTTCCCAGATAAGTTGTAAATGGGTCAGATTATGTCTGACATGTTCATGTAGGTTGCCCCCAGATAAGCTGTAAACGGGTCAGATTATGTCTGACATGTTCGTGTAGGTTGTCCCTAGCTAAGCTGTAAATGGGTCAGATTATGTCTGATATGTTCATGTAAGTTGTCCCTAGATAATCTGTAAATTGGTCAGATTATGTCTGACATGTTCATGAAGGTTGTCCTTAGGTCAGATTAAGTTGGTTCAGATGAGGTCTGTCTACCCCTTCCCCCTACAATTTATTACCATAGAGTTACCTTCAGTCATCTGCAATGGATGATTAGAGAGTAAATAACAAATTGGAGCATGAAATAAAGGACTCGGCATTTGTAATGTTTACTGCAAATCATTTGTATAGACTAATTTACTGTTTGCAATGTAATTAATTAATTGTAATTAACCATTGCCAATATGTTGTTTTATTACATCAATACAAATATTTTAAACCTTTGTACTAGAAATATTGTTTATCATGATTTAAATAAATGCAATTAAAATGTGGTAAGTTACAGGGGTTTGCTGTCCAGAATCTTTTCTTAAACATGTATATTAAGATTATTATGTTTTTTCTCCTATGTTGTCCATGTACGTGGATTGTTTCCCTTGGGTGGCGGAAAATCCAATGTAGTTGGATTTTTGGTGGCCTATTGTTTGTTGCCACCTTATTTTTCAGCTTAAATGTTTGATATATTTGTGTTTTTTGAGTATTGTCATGATGTTATTTTAAAGTTTTGGGAGATCCATAACAAGGTGTAGATACAAATTGTAGAAAGTCATAGGATCTCCCAAATTTCATGTGTTTCATTTGTGTCATTAATAAATGACATATTTACAACAATACTCATTCTTGGTTTTCATTCAATCTGAAAAATAACAGAGCTGCGGGAAACTTGGTTTTAAATTTGCACTATTATCATATGGAAGGCATAAAGTGGATTCTGCCTGTCCTGGAACACGCGCGTTCTGCGTAAATTTCGACGCACCTGTTCGTCTGTGACTACCATGAACGCTGCCATCTTTGGAAATTAACGTTAGGACGTAATTTAACCTCACCTCCAAGGTGCCTTAAAGTTACTTCGTAACATATGATACAACGTGAATTAAGACGCTTTCGTGAAACGCCGAAATTTAGCTATGCACTACTTACGTCGTACTTACGTGCAACTTACCACGCTTTTGTGAAACGATACCCTGATCTCCAAAAGCCCTACAATCATGTCTAGATGGGAATTACCATCATAAAACAATGTAATTCTTAGAAATTCTCTTTTTCGGCACGGGTCAGTACAAAATGGAAGTCTGTATATAAATGTTCTTTAAAGTAATTAAGGTCTTCCGTTTCCAACGGAAGACCTTTTTGTTTTCGTTCTGTTTCTTTTTCCCTATTCTTATTAGGGTCTTCCGGCTCAAACGGAAGACCCTGCTATGATTCTATGGGGTCGTCTTCACTTTTATTAGGGTCTTCCGTCTCCAACGGAAGACCCTTCTATTATTCTATTGTTTCTTTTTCACTTTTATTATTCTTCTTTTTTTCTTACAATTTTTGTGCAGACGATTTCTCGGAGATGGCTTGATGGATTTTGTTCAAATTTTCAGAGTTTGTGTATGTCTATATGAAGTTTGTACCCCCGTTTCAATTTTGAAAACATCACTTCCGGTCGTGAGTTATCGCCCTTTTAGTGATTTTTAGAGGGTCTCCTTGTCCTTAAGTTAACTCAAAAACGACATTAGCTAGAGAGCTGAAATTTTCAGCGATGATAGACTACACATTGCTGAATTGCACATTGGATCAAATTTTTTTCAGAAAAGTCCAATATGGAAGCGCGGTAGGGGTCGAAATCTAGGACACAACTCATGAGTGAATTTTCGAGACATTTTGTATCAAATCTTTTGAAGTATAATTATTTTGTTAAAACATACTGAACAAAATTTGTGCTGAATGAAAAGATCTTTAATATGATATCAAGAAAAAAGTGCTGACTCATCACATTAGGGGCCAAAAGGGGCTTAAAGTCTTTTTTTGATAACTCTTTAACAGTCAATAATTTGTTATACATTAATGAAGCAAAAATGTTAACTTCAACAATCTACAACTGTATTTTATGATTTTAATATCGTATGGTACATAATTAGGGGCCACAAGGGGCCAGAATGCTAAATCTTTTACGCTTTATATCTCGAAAGTGAGAAATATTTTGATAAGTGATATTGAACAAAAGATGTTCAAAATGATGTTATGAACAATATGCAACCTTTCATTTTTCGCTAAACGTTCCCATTAGGGAGTTAAAGGGTTGGCCCCTAAATATTTCTTTTGCGAATAACTCGAAAACGAAAAAGAATCTCTGAATAGTTGTTGAACAAAAAGTGTTCAAAATCCTAAGAGCTTTAAGATGAAATCCAGAAAAAGGGGCTGGACACTCAAATTAAGGGCCAAGAGGGGCTAAAAGTCTTTTTTCGATAACTCTTTAACAGTCAATATTTTGTTATACATTACTGAAGCAAAAATGTTTATCTCAACAATCTACAACTGTATATTATGATTTTTATGTCGTATATTACATGATTAGGGGCTACAAGGGGCCAGAATGCTAAATCGCTGATGCTTTATATCTCGAAAGTGAGAAATATTTTGACAAGTAATATTGAACAAAAGATGTTCAAAATCATGTTCTGAACAATATGCAACCTTTTTTTTCGCTAAACGTCCCCATTAGGGAGTTGAAAGGTCGGCCCCTAAATATTTCTTTTGCGAATAACTCGAAAACAAAAAAGAATCTCTGAATAGTTGTTGAACAAAAAGTGTTCAAAATCCTAAGAGCTTTAAGATGAAATCCAGAAAAAGGGGCTAGACACTCAAATTAAGGGCCAAGAGGGGCTAAAAGTCTTTTTTCGATAACTCTTTTACAGTCAATATTTTGTTATACATTACTGAAGCAAAAATGTTTATCTCAACAACCTACAACTGCATAGTATGATTTTTATGTTGTATAATACATTATTAGGGGCTACAAGGGGCCAGAATGCTAAATCGTTGATGCTTTATATCTCAAAAGTGAGAAATATTTTGACAAGTAATATTGAACAAAAGATGTTGAAAATCATGTTCTGAACAATATGCATCCTTTCATTTTTCGCTAAACATCCCCATTAGGGAGTTGAAGGGTTGGCCCCTAAATATTTCTTTTGCGAATAACTCGATAACGAAAAAGAATCTCTGAATAGTTGTAGAACAAAAAGTGTTCAAAATCCTAAGAGCTTTAAGATGAAATCCAGAAAAAGGGGCTGGGTACTCACATTAGGGGCCAAAAGGGGCTAAAAGTCTTTTTTGATAACTCTTTAACAGTCAATAATTTGTTATACATTAATGAAGCAAAAATGTTTATTTTAACAATTTACAACTGTATATTATGATTTTAAAGTCGTATATTACATAATTAGGGGCCACAAGGGGCCAGAAGGCTAAATCTTTGACGCTTTGTATCTCGAAAGTGGGAAATATTTTGACAAGTAATATTGAACAAAAGATGTTCAAAATCATGTTCTGAACAATATGCAACCTTTCATTTTTCGCTAAACGTTCCCATTAGGGAGTTGAAGGGCTGGTCCCTTAATATTTTTTTTGCGAATAACTCGAAAACAAAAAAAAGAATCTCTGAAAAGTTGTTGAACAAAAAGTGTTCATAATCCTAAGAGCTTTAAAATGTTATGAAGAAAAAAGGGCTGATCCCTAATATTAGGGGCCGTGAGGGACCAAAAGTCGATTTTAGAAGTCTTTATTGTTCAATGTCTTTTTACAGATTATGGAAAATCATTACTTTAGAATGCAAATCTCATTCAAAATCTTATCTCATCTCATCAAGAATCGAACGGAAGACCCACTCGTTGTTCACAACGAGATCGTATCTAGTTATTCTTTTTTTTCTTTACAATTTTTGTGCAGAAGATTTCTCAAAGATGGCTCGATCGATTTTGTTCAAATTTTCAGAGATTATGTGCTTCTATCTGAAGTTTGTACCCCCGATTCAATTTTGAAAAAATCACTTCCGGTCGGAAGTTATGCCCCTTTCAGTGATTTTTAGAGGGTCTCCTTGTCCATGAGTAAACTCAAAAACGACATTAGCTAGAGAGCTGAAATTTTCAACAATGATAGACGACACATTGCTGAATTGCACATTGGATTTAAATTTTTTCAGAAAGGTTCAATATGGAAGCGCGGTAGGGGTCGAAATCTAGGACACGAATCATGAGTGAATTTTTGAAACATTTTGCATCATATCTTTTAAAGTATAATTATTTTGTTAAGACATACTGAACAATAATTGTAGGGAATGACAAGATCTTCAAGATCGTCAATATGATATTTAGAAAAAAGTGCTGACTCATCAAATTAAGAGCCTAAAGGGGCCAAAAAAGTTTATTCAATAACTTTATAACAGTAAATATTTTGTTATATATCACTGAAGCAAAAATGTTTATCTCAACAATCTACAACTATATATTATGATTTTTATGTCGTATGGTACACAATTAGGGGCCACAAGGGGCCAGAATGCTAAATCTTTGACGCTTTATATCTCGAAAGGGAGAAATATTTTGATAACTAATATTGAACAAAAGATGTTCAGAATAATGTTCTGAACAATATGCAATCTTTCATTTTTCGCTAAACGTCCCCGTTAGGGAGTTGAAAGGTTGGCCCCTAAATATTTCTTTTGCAAATAACTCGAAAACGAAAAAGAATCCCTGAATAGTTGTTGAACACATAGTGTTCAAAATCAGTAGAGCTTTAAGACTAGATCAAGAAAAAGGGGCTGGGCACTCCAATTAGGGGCCAAGAGGGGCCAAAAAGTCTTTTATCAATAACTCTTTATCAGTTAATATTTTGTAATACATTACTGAAGCAAAAATGTTAATCTTAACGTTTAACAACTATATATTATGATTTTTATGTCATATGACACATAATTAGGGGCCACAAGGGGCCAGACTGCTCAATCTTTGAGGCTTTATATCTCGAAAGGGAGAAATATTTTGATAAGAAATATTGAACAAAAGATGTTCAGAATAAAGGTCTGAACAATATGCAATCTTTAATTTTTCGCTAAACGTCCCCGTTAGGGAGTTGAATGGTTGGCCCCTAAATATTTCTTTTTCTAAAATCTCAAAAACGAAAAAGAAATTCTGAACAGTTGTTGAACACAAAATGTTCAAAATCTTAAGATCTTTAAGAAGAGATCCAAAAAAGGGGCTGGGGACTCAAATTAGGGGCCAAAAGTCTTCAATCGATAACTCTTTATCAGTTAATTTTTTGTAATACATTACTGAAGCATAGATGTTCATCTCAACAATCTACAACTATGACGTTACGCGCGATGTTGGTGACTTTTAACGTTACGCTTTCATAGCGCTACGGAAGAAATTAACGTTATGCGTTTAACAGTGTAACATGCTTGACTGGTACCCTATCGCTATCTCTTTGTATTGAAATACGGGTTTAAATAGTCATAGGATATTTATAGTTAAACTCATGAACATAAAGGGCGCTTTAGATTTGTAAATATTTGATAAATTTTGTTTATTTTTCGAAGCAGTCTTAAACGCATTTTCATGTAATACCTTGAATCAGAACGAATTTTACCCGCCAAGAACGTCCACTGGACAAATATGTTGAACCTCTTAAATGTTGCGTAAAATATTAATTCATGGAGTAAATTTATTAATCTGATATCAAATCAAACCGGGTAGAGTAGCACATTATGGACTTTGAGTTATTTCTGTGTTAAATTGGAAAAACAATATGATTAAAGGACTCGAAAAAAGGCATTGTCTTATTTTTGCACGTCATTTTAGACGTTGGACTTTTCTGTTGAACTTGTAGACCAGTTACTAGCTTCTAAGCATGCGGTTTGATATCAACATCAATGAAATATTTTAAATCTATAGGAAATGCACATTATTTTGATATAATTTGTTTCATTTAAAACTTTCATGTAAATGCAAAAATTTATTGTTC